TATAAATATATATATTTTAAAAATTTGTTTTTGTAGGACATCTAATTTTTTCAAATGTACTCTTGCTACTGAGCCCCAAGACAAGATAGCGTACCTCAAGCGTGATTCTACCAGTGCATGATATAATATTTTGAGGTGAGTAATATCTAATATGACTTGAAAAATCTCGGTTCGTTTACTGCAAGTTGCAAAATCATCAATAATCATTCTCTATTCTTCAAGTCTTGATTTATTAGCTTCAGTAGTTTTTCTTTTAGGTTTTTGTTCGGTTCTATGCTTATATCGCTGATTCTCAGTGAAACTATGCTCCTATGAAACCACTTTATTATTTTTGTGAATAATGGCATTTATGTATTCATTGGCATTTGAATTTTCTGTCAACTTACTCAATTCACCTTCAATCTTTATTCCTAATAATAAGTTTATAAGCTCACCACCACTGATGAGCGCTGTCTGATTTTCAATCATGAATGCGTTGTGTTTGGGCTTTGTTTTTCAGATCTGTTCAAATCTGACTTTCCGCGGATCAACGAGGACTTAAATTTCAACGTGCGATGCCTAGCAAATAACAGTATATCGTTATTCTGATGATGATAATGATGATATTCAATTGATACAATGAAGAAGGGGTTTTATAACATTTTGTGTGAGCAGAAAGAAATAAAAATTAATAGAAATAACGTGTATTATGTTCAAGGTAGCTAGAAGCAAGGCAACTTGAAATAACTATGAATTTATTCACTAATCTGAGAAAATTCTACATTTTTCTACATATAATTACGTTAAATGAGCCATTCCTCATACGGAACATCATTAGATACCGTTCAAGCAATAGTGTCTGGATTCCACGAGTATTGAACTCTTTTGAAGTTGTTTAAAATACTCATATCAGCTTCTGGGATGTTGAAGTTCAGATCAATATTTTCTTCTATGTACTTTTTGGAACGAGCTTTGGGTATGACAGCAATATTTTGTTGCAGGGCCCAGCGAAGCAGAACCTATAAAAATAAAAGAGTTAAAGTCATGAAAAAACAATAACACATTCATTTACTTCACATAGTTAGATATGACGTTGGTATTTTTCATTCGAGGCTGTCGATAAATGTTAACATATTACAACAAATTGTTGCAATAAACTTGAAAGCGATAACATTTTCGACTAGAGAATGAAGAGACATTCCAAACGATATATCACAAACCTATGCTTCCGATTTAAAAAAATTGGGGGTTGTACCTGTCATTCAAAGGGGGTTGAAGGTAGGGGTAGCATTTTTTCCGTTGAAAAATGTCGAATTGTAATTCTGTGTCACCTGCGGAAAGGGAGTTAAGTGCAAAAATCGCACTTTCGGCAGAACGCAATTGAAAATTTCATAATTTTTCCAGATTCTACAAATTGATGAAATTCCAGTTTTGAAGCTTTGGAATTGTGGCAGTATTTTTTTTCAATTATGGAAATGTTGTCGTTTTTTTATTGTTAATTATAGCATCTATCTTTACGAATTGTTTAAAATTATCTGTACTTAGTGCGTTTTACACTAATTCCATCAGTGTAAAATGTGTTAAGTGCTTAATAGTTCCTCAAGATGTTGGCAATTTTATGCCATATTTACTCTGTTAGAGCTTAAGGAAATGATATGTAAACAATAAATTTTACTTTTCTCATAAATTTCTTCATTGAAACACAACAGCTAGGTGTACAATAATAATATGTCGTACTCAGAATACTTTTTTATCACAGTATTATTATAATTAAAAAAAGACATAAGTAGCTAGGATCGTAAAATGAACAATAACAAGTAATACAAAATGTGCTTTCAATAAAACAATTATTAAAGAAGTGAAGACATAGTAAAAAAGTTGAAAATAATTGTTGCTTTTTCACCTTTCGGCTTTTTCATCTTGGGCATTGGGGTACACATCAGATATATTGCCCGAATTGAGGTCGTCATAAAAATTGCTGTATGTTGGACCTATATAAGAAAGTAAATCTAGGGGATCCTTTTTTTTTCAATTGGTATCATTGGTGATCCCTGATATCTAAAAGGTGGCAAAAGTTTTACAACCTTCCCTTTTTTCTTGAAAAAAACTGTTTTGAATTCTTCATTGCCGAGTGTTAATTTACAAAAAAGAATTCCAGAATTAACTTTGCGGTAAGTTAGCCATCTAACCTCAACCCAATGCATCACACCATTATCGTTATTTTTTTTTTACATCCTTTGCAAGAGAGTCAGCAGCTTCATTGCCTTCCAGGCCAGTATGGCCAGGAATCCAGACCGGAGACAATCTGTTTAGTCTTCCTATCGGGGAGAGTCTTTCTTGGCAGTTTGCTATCAATTGAGACGTTGCTCTATTGACTTGTGAGTGAGGTTGGATTTATTCAATCTCTCCGCACACAATTCAACAGCGTAAATTTCCGCTTGAAATACAGTCGCATTAGTTTCTATGCAGGTAAATAACTCTGTCCTGAGTCTGCGACTGAAAACACCTGCAACAGAACCGGAAGGTGTTTTCGATCCATCTGTGAACCAACAACTATCTGCTCTCAATATTTCCTTCTCCCGCAGTCCTCTCTACTCGGGAATAGTACTTTATGATGCAGTTTGTAGTTGACAGTTGGAGGCATAAAGTCAGAGGTCATTTCCAGAATGCTGTGACTTTCAATGTCAACCAACAGTCTGTTGCACTCTGCATTGAAGTGATTTGTGCAATTGGCAATGTGCACAAGTCTGTATGCAGTCCATCTAGCCTCTCTTTCCAGAAAAATGTGGAGAGGAGGTAGATCTAGAAGGATCTCCATGGCCGCTGACGGTGTGGTACTGATGGCACCACTGATAGCCAGACAAGCCTGTCTCTGTAAGCCAGAGAGCTTCGCTTGGGCCTTTTTCTGTAAAGCCTTCGTCCACCAAGCAATTGCACCATACGTGATCATTGGTCTGACAATCATCACATAAATCCAATGGATTTATGCCAATGCCAAGATATTTCACCTCCGTTACAAATGGAATGACCACACCATTGGGGGAAAGTGGCGTTAGATCGTCCAATTTCCATCGATAT